TATGTACTTATTTGAATCCACTGATCCACACTGAACCACATTGTTATTTTCCCTTCACAAGGTTTTGTTTCTACATTGGTTTTCTGTCTCATCTAATGTTTCAAAATGTTCATTTGTTTAAATAACTGGGATTTTTCTGTCAATCAAACACTTTCAAGACTTTATCATGTTTTTTATAAAAACGTGAAAGAAAACCATCTTTGATGAGACACAGCTTGAGATAGTAAATGAATCAGTGACATTCTGAAGCAAGTTTTAAAAAATGTACAAGTTTGGCTCCAGTAGTCAATTCAGTTCAAGTCAAGTCAATTCAGTTCAATTAATTTAAATAGCTCCAAGTCACAACAGAAGTCGTCTCAGATCACCGAACACAAACAAGTCCTCGACCTTGACCGTCGTCCTTCACAGGTGTGTAATTCACATGAACTTTCCTCATCTGCCCTTTAAACTTTTCATTTCAGATCTAGAGGAGACAGAAACATCCAGATGTTGAAAAAACCTGGAGCTAAAAATAAAAAAAGTTCTGTGTCACAGATCTGCCTCTGTGCTTGTGTTTATTCTGCTCCGCGTTCCAAACCCCACATACGTAAAAACATGGCAGGAGAACACGCAAAGCAAACACTTCAACATCAACACGGTTGGAAAAGATGCCGTTTCTTGTGAACAACATCAAGTTTAACGAGCAACAAAGTGACTTGTGAAAATATATAAAAGTGAAGGCAGGTTCTTGGCTGGTTCCTCTGCAGCTGCCCAGGAGAGAAGAGGCCAGGCCTCATTTGAAGCTCGGCGCCCGAGCCTCGCTTTTAGCAACGCAGGGCTGTAACCTGGTATTTTCTTCCTGCAGGCTGCAGCTTAATGAGCCCGCCAGGACAAAGGGGACTTCTAAATGAGCAGAAAGAAAGTAAACAAGCTAATGGCAAACTGCGAGGCACAGGAAAATGCTCACGAGCAAAGATTGATCACACTAACAAGTTAGTGAGTTCAGATCTTTGAGGGATAACTCAGTAAATATCTTAACTGCTGTAGATGTTTCAGTGGCCTCAGATTAGAAAAACTGTTTAATTTGAACTGGATATTCAAGCTAACAGCTAGTCCAAACAACTCCATTGACATAAATGTTGGTGGTTCATACAAGTCATGTTTAATAAACATGTTTGATCATGTTTCATTCAGAATTAACCGATAATGGAAAATTGAAAACAACGTGTTGGAATATTTATTATAGCAACTAGAAAAGCTAATCCAGAAAGTGATTCAAGCCCCAACCATAGAAGATATTGTTGTTGTTTTTTTACAAAAAAATAAATAAAATCACATTATTATCATAATTACAAGCTAAAAGACATTGAGGAAAAATGGAAGATATGCAAACGTGGTTACTACACAACTTTAATATCTGTTAAAATTCCCATCTGGAATATCATTGATATTAATTATTATGTTGTTTTTTATAAAAATACTCACTTCTACTTCTTGCTTTTATTCTTATTATAATGGTACCATTTTCCAATAAGGCTCCCCTTATAGACGGCTAATAAATAGTTTATAGATACATTAGTAATTCTTCTATAAACACATTATAAATCAATAATAACTACTTATTATAAAATAATTAAGGGTGAGAAAGAGACAAAACGGACCAGTTTTTTGTCAAATAGTGAGACAAATCTGCCACATATATATTTTATTAAACAACTTTTTAGGATATAATATTAGTTGTAGATACTTATACTGCAGTGATAAAGTACAATATTGCTAAAAAAATAGGTTTACAAATGCTTATTGTGCTTACAAGGTAGTAACTTAATCTGAAATGTTTAATATAACAACTCTAGATGAAATATATAGGTGAACAGATTTGGCTCACCCTTAATTAATGCATAATTAGCAGTTATTAATGATTTATAAAGTGTTTATAGAGGAATTAATAATGCAGATATCCAGCCATACATTATCTTTTACCCGCTTCTTCCATTTTTGGGTCACGGGGGTCGCCGGTGCCCATGTCCAGCACTGTGCGAGGGGCTGGAGACACCCTGGACATGTCTCCAGTCCATCACAGGGACACACAGAGACAAACAACCATTCATTCTCTCACTCACACCTAGAGACAATTTAGAGTTACTGATAAGACGAAAAAAGTTAACAAGCATGTTTTTGGTCCATTGTGTCCAGTGTACTTTTTTTTTTGTATCTATCTATCTATCTATCTATCTATCTATCTATCTATCTATCTATCTATCTATCTATCTATCTATCTATCTATCTATCTATCTATCTATCTATCTATCTATCTATCTATCTATCTATCTATCTATCTATCTATCTATCTATCTCTCTATCTATC